AAAATAATAGTCACAACTGTTAAATTGCATGTCCATGCAAGCCAGCAGAGCCACACTCAATTACATTTGTACATTTTGCATACAAATTAGTATATATATATATATATATATATATATATATGGGCTAGAAAAACTAGGGGCAGCACACATCACATATTCACACGAAGGCATCAACATGGCTGACAACATAGTTGAATGAGCATCACATGAATGTGAGGAAAGAGTGCAGGGGGTCAGCAAATTTAGACCTGACCTGAAATCAGAAGTGATACCAGATGCAGATCTCAATTTGTACACTGATGGCTGCTGTTTCAGACACCCTCAGCTACAAGCAGCCTATGCAGTCATAAAACAGGAAGAAAATGGTGGGACATCAACAGTAAAAACCCAAAACTGCATGGAAAGGTGTCAGCGTAACTAGCAGAACTAGTGGCAGACACTCGTTTGGAACTGTTTATCATCCACAATCCCAGGGCAAAGTCGAAAGGATGAACAGAAACATCAAAGAAAAACTGGCCAAAATTTGTGCACAAACAAAAATGAATTGGCTAGACGCACTTCCTATTGCAATGATAGGAATCAGAAGTTCAGTAAACAGAGTGACAGGGTTCACTCCATTCGAGCTGTCCAGGGGAACTCAATTCCCTGGGCCAGGGGCGGGACTGCTGACTGATCCATGCTCCCCAAGAATGAGATAAAGACCCTATGTTGAACAACTAACGGCTCTTATCTCAAATTTTTCTTCCCAGGTACGAGATCACACACCAGAGGAAGGAGACAACACACCACACTCGGCTGAGTCGGTGTATCTGAAGGCCATCAAAAGGAAATGGTCAGAGCCAAGGTGGCTTGTACCTTTTGAAGTGACTGAACGAATAAACTGTGCTGTAAGGCTAAAAGGGAAAGTTGACACCTGGTCTCACTGGAGCCGGTGTGCACCCGCAGAAACCTCACAAAGATCACTGCCTGAAGTGAAAACTGACTTCCAACAGACAGAACACTCACATGCCTCAAAAAAGGAAAACAAAGCGTAAACGACCATCATCACATTTCAGAATCACATCCTGTTTTCTTGGCAGTAGAGTATCAGACGAAGAATTCACCTCCTGTATTAGATCAGATAGACCTCTTGTTACATACAATATCCTACCCACAGAGAGGAGACCTGAGTTGCAGTGGTTATCACTGTGGATAACACCATAACAAGCTCACAAGGCTGTATCAGCTCGTAGTAACAAGGTCGTAGTCACACACACAGGCTACAGAGTATGGACAGAGATTCAGATTCACCCCTTCTATATNTCACTCCTTCTATATTAAAACTGCAACAGACACGGTGATGGTCACCCAATACGACCGCAAAAGTCCAAAAGGGGGTATTGTGCAGGCAGGAGGAGTTCATTATTTTATAAAGCTTTGGCTAGCAGGTGCCCTGCTATATACAGGAGCGCCTCTGTATAATCAGCTTTGCTACAAGTGAAAAGAGTGAAAAGTGCATGACATAGATAAGCTGGGCTAAAGGATAAAAAGGTTATAAACTCTCTGTGTTGAGCGCAGGCACATCTCACACGGAAACAAAAGATAAGGGAAAGAACAGAAAGGTCATTCATAAGTATTTTGCTTTGTTTTAAGTGCCGGAGTTTTTCAATAAAATGTTTGGTTCATGGACGACCCCAGCGGGTCTCTCCCTCATTTCTTTTGCTATTATGTTGTCTCCTCTATTATTGCTGTTACTGGTATGCTTGTTTTGTGTGGTTGTTGTTGTTGTTGTGTTCCCTGTATTCGTTCTCTTTGCATTAGACTCATCACCACCACCATTGAAGGGAAGGCTGCTCCGCCTCCACCCTATCAGATGCCGCTCTTAGGAGCACCGCAGGATGATGACGAGGAGGTTGCCGCCCCCATGACGGATATTTGAAATTAATATTTTCAGCCTTCAGTTTCTGATTGATCTCAGAAGTGATCTGAGATCAAAAGGGGGACTGAAGGGATATGTTATTTCTGCTACTCTGTGCATTGTATGATTAAAAGGGTGAATCAGCCTTAAACTATATGAACTATGTGAACATTGTAACGCTGTCTGCCGTTTGAGATTGCAGAATGACGTACAAGGACAGAGAGGACGAGAAAGTACGATGATAACATGCTTAGATAGCAGGATGTGCAGTTAAGATGCTGGGTTCGGTCGGGCTGTGCGAGAAGAGGGGGAGTGATATTGTTATACAAAGAATGTGAGAATGTGAATAAGAGTGAGTGACTGAAACAAGGGAGGGCTGCACTCTGCTTAGACAGGCGAGAGGAGAGCAGTGTGAGTCCACAGCTCTGTAAGCAATCTCAAACTTCTATGCTTGGCTATACTTTTAATAAATTAGACGTGTTGAACTTTAAATCTGTGTCCTGCATACTTCATCAAACCAACACGCGAGTCCGGTTTTGCTGCGAAATAATAGTGGACTCAACAATATATATATATATGTATATATATACTGTATAGACTTATATAGATTTGTACAGGTCACAACAGTTTACAAGCTAATTTAAAATGTTTGTGTGACAGCTTGCACTGTGCAGTTTGCGCAGCACTGAGTTTGACACATAACACCACATTAATAAACTTGTGAACATGACCCTGAGCCATGTTTATTGCACAAGCTAAAACACTGATTCTGCCAAATACTGATTTTGCAAAACCTTTTTAACCGTTGACACATACAGAAGATTTGTCCAGTTGGCCATCGTGTCACAGCTGACCAAGTTCTTATCATTTCAGTTATATTGCTTCTTAAATTTCATATATGTTTTGACTTAACACAAATTATGTTTTTCTGTTTCTACATGGCAGCCCCAAATCATGATGCTCCCTCCACCCAGCTTCACCTTCACCCTTTTCACACCACACACAGTGCTGCACGTTCTTCCCAAACAATTCAACCTTACTTTCATCGGTCCGTAAAACATTTTCCCAGTAGCTTCGGTAATGTCAAGCTGCTCTTTGACAAACTTCAGGTGCGCAGTGATATTTTTATTCATATCTGTCTGACTGTGGATTGATGAATATCTAAACTCTTTAAAATCACTTAGTCACCCTCTTCAGCTTTATGCAAATCAACAATTCTTAACCATAAAGTCTTCTCGGGTCTCTTTTATGTGAGGCATGTTTCACATCAGAAGATGTTTCTTCTGCAAACTCAAAATGTTCAATCTGCTTTTTTCTAAATCAGTGTCTGTAACCCAGACCTCCAATCTGGTTTCATTTACTAGACTCCATGTTTGATAACTCCTGACTTCAATTAGCTTTTGTGGATGTTATTAGCCGGGGGGTTCAGATACTTTTCCCAGCCTACACTGTGAATGTTTAAACAATGTATTCATTATGGAAAAGAACAATACAATGATTTGCGTGGTATTCATTAAGATAGATTGTGTTTGTTCATAAGTGTAACTTGGATGGAGATCTGACTGTAATTCCAAAGGGTTCACTGATGTTTTCTTGCCTCTGGATGTGGCACATGGTACAGAGAATGGTAAACACAGAGGTAATGCAAGTGAACTGCTACACATATTCAGATTTCAGTAGTTTAAACAAATGTAACAGCATTATATGACGTGAATTATCACTGAATGTGCTGACAAGAGGAATATGTAAATCAACAAAGCCAGGAGTACAGAATTTACAGTGAGTGGGCATTGCCCTACTACTGTCCTTTCACATCATTTATAGTTATTGTGTGTGTGCGTGGTCTAGGTGTTACTTACACAATCACATTATTGGAGCTTGTCTTGTCTTGTGGTATATATCATGCATGCGAAAGAGGGAGGGAAGTGACTGTGCTTTGTTTCCTTCCTTTGTTCTCAGCTGGGTTTTAAGTTTCACTATGACGAGAATCAAAACTGCAACTCCAGAGAAAGGCATGGAGCAGATGGGGATGGGCCAAGGAATTACAAAAGTGCCAAACTATAGGAGATTTCTCACAGGTAGTGGAAACAAAGCCATACTTTCTGCATTTGTTTTGCAATTACATCCCAACACCAGAACCACATAGACTGAACAAAAGCCAGACAATCGTCTCTGCTGGAGGGTTTGAAAAACCCAAAGAGACAAGATCACGAGGAGGCTGACACGAGAGTAGTGCTACACGCCACCCACCTCACTAAGACACACGATGAACGTATTCATCAGGTTTGAGGACACTGATCCTGCATCTGCTGCTCTTGTATGATGCAAGCTGCAGCATGTTTGACTTCACTTTTATCTTCATGCACGAAGGCGAGGATGTTATTATATTGAGTGTTTCTATGAAGATAACAGCTAGTACTTGTAAATTACATTTTGTAGTAATTGTTGATGTTATTTTTAAAATTACGAAATATGTTCTGTATAATAGAATTACTTTTTTTATAATCTTTTCAGTCTCTGCCTATATTCAATGTATGTTTAAGTGTATTTATTTTTTCGAAATAGTCAGATGCATTTGTGATTGTCTTATTTCACTGCATGTATCAGCTGGATCCAAATCCAAATATCATCCAACTAAACTGATTTTGCAGTAAAATGTTTTTATACAACCACCCAGTTCATAAAATAGTCACATCACAGATGTGGGAATAACACGGCTGTGCTTTGTTCTACCTCGGGTGGAGGTATCTCAAAAACTAAGACCTTTAGGGAGATTTTTTCCTCTGTAAGATAAACATCTCTCTCGAGAAAATTAGCAGAGAAATGATAACGAGTTAGAGTGGGCTGCCACATTGTCTGTCCCTTTATTTGCTAATGAATTCCTGGTAAAAGTGAGTCATGTTGGATCAAGAATAAAACGAGAATTTTACATTCCCATAGCTTTCGTTTCCCAAAGTTTCACTTCGCCTGCCTTTCTCTGCAGGTCTCCCACCCCCGCGCGCCCCCCTCTGCTCATAGCCGTTACCTCGCGTCACTCACCGCTCTCAGCCAATTGCAACACTGAGCGACATCAAAGAGGAGGGGCGTGACGCAGATAGAGGCTGTGGATTTAGACACGCAGCAACATTACATTTTGGGATCTGTGGACTGCTCGTGCGTTTTCACGGTTATCTGCCCAAAGAGGAAATAGTACCGAAGCCCTCTACGAATACAGGTATGCATTTTATGTGTAGTTAACTTTCTGTTCTGCATGGCTGCCGCATAATTCGAGGCTGTGATATCTTTAAAAAAAAAAAAAATAGAGCACTGTTAAAACGTCTAAACGTAACAGCTTAACACCGGATATACAGCTTAAACACCGCGTGACCATCGAAACTAAGAGGTTACAGAAATTGTATTCGTGTGTATTTTGAGTATACGTGTAACCTGCGACGCAACAGGCCTGCAGGAAGTGTTGAGGTAATTCGTTCATACATCCTACAGACTTCTTAAGTGCACCCGACAAACCGTTGATCAACATGGCACTGGATGGATGTGGCATCGTCTGCAAATATATCCTCATCCTTTTCAACCTCATCTTTGCGGTAAGAATTTTATTTATTTAGTTATATTATTGTTATTATTATATAAATTTGAGTATTAGTTTTTTTCTTCTTTTTTTTTGCAAGATATTGTTTACAAACAAAAATACAGATACAGATCCTGTCTCTTGACTGTCTCTACAGCAGAAACTAAAAAGAGAAATTCAAAATATCCTCTTTTCTTTCTTTCTGTTTTTTAAAAATCCGATTTATTGTTCTTGTTGCAACAGCTGCATTCTTTTTAATTGTATTTTTGTGGTTTGAAATGCCTTCATTTCCTGTTTGGCAGCTGCTGGGTTTTGCCTTCCTGGGTCTAGGCCTGTGGCTGAGGTTCAGCAATGGCACCAGAGGCATCTTTGGAATGGATATTCCCTACACACAGACATTTGTTTTTGGTGAGATTGTCTTTTATCCAAATTTGTGCTATTTCTCAAAAAAAAAAAGCATGAAGATATTTTTGCTTCTTGCACATATTTGATGACAGATGTGTCTCCGTCTTTCTTGCATCAGGTGTGACGGTGCTGATAGCTCTGGGTTCAGTGATGCTCATCGTGGTGATGTTTGGAGACTACGGGGCCTGCAATGAGAAAAAATGTGCTCTGCAAGTGGTAAGATGTTTTTTTCTATCCATAATGATTGGACAACAGCCAGGTTTCCTGTTGTGAAACATGTGAAGTGTAAAGTGAACTCACATTTCTCTGAAAAATCTTGTGACAGAGCTCTGTTTTCAAAAATATGAGCAACTACTTAATTGGCCCAAGTTTTTTTTAAATTTTTTTATTGGTGAAATGGTGTGACAACAGACAATTTTAAAAAAAAATGAGTATACGTGTATAAGATGACACAGTCGACAGGTTTTAACATAAAGCATATTGGTAAAGTGGCCCAAGATGAGGTAATAAAGGATACCAGTGCACCAGTGCTCTCTTATTGTGGTTCCAGACAGGAAACTCAACCGGATGCCGACAGAGAACAACAAACTACATGTACTGTCTTTTAGAATCAGGAACCAAAAAAAACTAAAAAGGTGCTGGATTACCTCTTCTGCTTTTCACAGAGAATTTTCAAGGATCATTTTTAGTCAGAATGAACGGACTGTTGACACACAAGAGACTAAAACTGCTGGTGCAAGAGACTTTTGTTTTGGTGCTATGCCCAACCCCCACATCCTCCAGCAAGATCTCTACATAACTATATTAAATGTGTAAGTGTAAGACGAATCAACAACACATGCAATGCAACTTTAAAATAACCTCGAGGGTTCAAATGGATTTCAATAATACGCTTCAATAGCTACATGATCAGCAAGCAAACCACAAAAAACTGATGTGGGTTTTTCTTAGAAAGTTTCTGTATTTCCATTTACCTTGTAGTTCTTTCATGTTCGCTGGTCTGAGATCACTTGTGCGCCTTGAATGAATACTGTATTCACTGTCAATCAGCCACTCACTGAGGTTTGACTCATAAGAACAAAGGTTTAAGCCAATATAGCAAAACATGAAAGTAACACTATATACCACCAAAATAATTTCCTGGCACCTGCAGACACATATTTTCTCTCGATTTCTATTTTCAAAGTATCGAAACTGTTTCAGCTTCGTGTTGAGAAACCCCCACAACAAACTAGTCGGAGAATAATGGATGCAAGGGAGGAATGGGGAATGTAAGGAGATCTTTTTAGTTCCTCCTTGCTCTCCCTCCGGTGAGATCTCTGAATCTTCAGGATTCTGCACTTTTGACCTTTTGTCTTTTATTTGGCACCCCAGCAGTCTCTTGTTTTCATTCCTCATCCTCTCTGCTGGTGACAAGATTTACGCTCTTTTAAGCACAAAGAGTGAGCCTGGTGGTGCGAAGTGATATCCCCAACAACACGGGCGCTAATAAATGATCCAACAGGGGGATTAAAATATGACGCAACATCAAACATGCACAAAATTTGTTGAAAATCGAGGATGACCTCCCAGAACTTCTCAAATAACGCTTTTATTATTCTACCTCTGAAATGCTGTTTAATGGGATTTTCCAGTTTTATCTCATAGACTTGCAACAGTCTCGCTTTGGTAAAGTTCAGAGACATTCCTTAAGTGTTACATAGCACACAAAGGCAGAAGACTGAGAAGGCTTGTGTGCTGTAGGAACAAAACAAGCCATGCCATAGAAAAGTAGTGCAGCAAAGACATTTTCACAGCAACAAACCGCAACACTGTCTTACCCCGAGTTGTTAATATGACGGTCATATTAGGATCTAGGCGACCAACAAGGGAAGAAACCGCCTGCTTCTCCGTACACGCTTTAATGGAGATTATCAGACAGAACATGTCAGGACATCTTTTAGTAACTGCAGTTAGCGTTGATGATCGATGCATGAGGTGAAAACACTGCTTCTTAAAACACTTAATATTTTATAAGTGCAATGAGGTGAAGTGTTCTTCCTACTGGTGAAAACAAACACAAGCATATTTGCATATCCTCGAGTTATGCTGTTTGTTTACTTGTTCCTGTGTGCTCATCAGATTAATAATCTGTTTCATTAAAGTCGTTTAATTAAGATTTATTGACTTCTCCCTCTCCTTTCAGTTCTCTGCCCTTCTGGCCATTCTAGCTGGAGCTGAAATTGTTGTCGGAGTGCTTGCTTATTCCAGGAGATATGAGGTGAGAGGGAAACGGAGAGGGAGGGGAGGAACGGCAATATGTGATGGAAAACAGTCAAATCAAAAACCTGTAAATACTTTATATTTCTAACCACGGTGTTGTGTTTTTTTTAATTGTCATAATTTAGGTTGGAGCAAACATTGCAGAGTTCTACAATAGCCTGTATGGTCTGTATATAAACGGAGGAGATCCAGGAATTGGTGTCACTCTCACATTCATCCACAACATGGTGAGCACAGACTGACTATTCCTTCAGTCCAACATGCAGTTTTACTGTTGAGCTGTTGTTTTAATGGAGTTTGTACTCAGGGCTTTTTAAGCTGAATCCTTCGTACAGTCTATTTATATGGAAGTCCAAAATGTTTGATATATAAATAAAGAAATATTATTTTATTATTGAATAATCAATCATACAAATAAACTGTGTAAAATATCTAAATGACCACCAAATCATCAGTACTCATTTATTTATTTAATTGTGAACACTGGTGGCCTCCATGTATTGAGAATATCATTTTTAAATGTCAGATATGAGGTTTTGTTGCTCATTGATTTTTCATTTTGAGGCTTCTTTGAGCGTTCTTCATCTCCCTTCCTCCTCTTCCTCCTCCTCCACCTGCTCTGTAGCTTCACTGCTGTGGAATGACGGGGATCTCGCTGGTAGAGATAGTTAAACAGACCTGTCCTAAACCAGATGGATTCATGGAGAAGCTCGTCATGCCCGTAAGTTGGTGCTAAGAAATGGAGCTGATTTAATGAAGTTGCTAGGAATATGTGTGATGTCTTGTTTTGATTTCACCTAAGAGTAAGCTGGACCTGTCAACTACAGCACAGTAGGTGCTCACAGTGTCTCCTGTCTTGGTCGTCTTACAGAACTGTCCTGGTGTCATCACAAACATCTTTGACAGTAAAGCGCCACTCGTGATGGGCATCTTCGTTGGAACTGGAGCTCTGTTGGTAAGAAAACGTGTCGCACGCTGCACTTTCTAATGCTTAGACACAGTGTATGAAGTTAATTTAACAAAATAATTTAACATAAAGGAATCAAAGTACACTGCAGTACATCATGGAGTGCAATGAAATGCAAATTAGAGATATACTGTAGAAGTACCAAATGAAGCAGCCAGTCAGAAAACAGATACAGGTCTGTGCTTCTGTGGTCTGGGCTCACAGTCAAATAGGTTACAGTGGCCTGCAGGGACAAAAGCTGAGGCAGTGTGTGAGTCTCTAAAAACATAAAATGGAGGGATAATATCAGAGTCTACACTCATTTCAAACTAATGGCTCATTAATTTGCATTTTTATTTTTAATAATCCCAATAAATTTGTTCGTTTTGTTATTAGAAATTTTGTCATCAGATTGTTTTTAAGTGCTTGACAGCATGATGGATAGGATTCCTACGGAAATAAACAAATGTCTCACATGTCACTGAAGTCTCGCTGAAGGAAAAGTCTCGCTCTGAAATCTCACGGGATGTAAGCTGGTGCAGGGAGACAACACTTTAAACTTAAATGAGAGTTAGAGAGAGCTGTACGATACAGAGCTGGAGCACACAAAGCATTGCTTATTATCTAAAAGATTGTTTCATTTCTATACTGTGGCAATAAAATGACACACCACACTGAATGAAGCTTCCACAGACTGCCTGACAGGGACACGCTGCAGTTGTGGCTTGTTGTGCTAAATTGATGAAAACACTTCTGTCCGTACACTGCACTTTGCAGACCATAGTGATTACAGTGATCATTCTGATGGGGTGATCACTTCCAGTCGAACAGGAGAAGAAATCAGCAAAGCACTTTTTCCACAAGAAAAATGCTGTTTCAAGAGCAGACAGACCTGCTGCAGACAGACCAGGGCTACTGTTATTAGCTAAAGCCAATTTGTTGACTTTGCACTTCATATTTTTACATTGCTGTATTGGTACTTTCACTCAAAGGATCTGAATACTTCTTCCACCACTGAAAGTTGCATAAGACAAACAAACTAACGAATCGAGGCAGTGTTAGACCAGCAACTGTTGCGCAAGATAAAATGAGTGTTTATGTCAAATGAGTGTGGTGGCTTTGAACAGAGCGATATATCAGCTGTTTCTGTTTGAACAAAAAGGATCTTGCTCCCATCTACGTCATGGTCCTTTTCCATAATGTTGTCAGACACTTAATAATAATAATAACAATAGTGATAATAATAATAATCGAAACCTGTCAGTGACATGACGTACTTTGAACATATGTTGAATTACATTGCGGCCGTTTTTCATAGTGATTAATTGCGAAGCTAATTGCTAATAGTTGTTAGCATAATAACATGCTAAACTAAACATGGTGAACATACCTGCTGAACATCAGCATGTTAGCATTGTCATTCTGAGCATGTTAGCATGCTAACGTTAGCATGGCTGCAGACCATCCTGCACTAACATTTAGTGAAATGGATTAAAAACTCAAAACAATGATCCTCATTTATACTGTACTGCAAACATACACGTTACACTTCATACAATACAGTACATACTGTGAAGCTATTAAGTGCCGAATTAGCATCAAATTACATTTAAAACACAGCACTGAAGGAACAGATTGACTGACAGTAAAAGTGACAAATATCTTTATTAAAAGCCTGCTTCATTCAGTCGCATGCTCCTTGACAAGCTCAGTTCTGTCGTTTGCTCCTGTTGATTATAAAGTTAACAAACGTGTTTTACTCACTGCATCCCTCTGTCTCTCTCAATCAAAACCTCTCCCCCTGCCCTGGTTATTTTTTTTCTCTTTTCCTTCATTCTCCCAATCATTTGTTCACATAGATCATAGCTCTGATTTGCAGCTTGACGCTTAGTAGAAAGATTTGCCCGTCTGTCTCATCGCCTCATTACATCATCCTGACTCAATCCACCCCTGTCCTCGCCAACCCTCAACCATCTCAGCATGAATTTGTCTCCACCTCCTACCCTGACCACGACCCGGTCACCTTCCCCCCCCTCACTGTGGCCAACATCCCTGTGGCTCAGGCCTAGTGCGCTCAGACCAGCTTTCACTGTCACTGTAATGCTGTCTTGATTGTTTGTTTTTTTTATCCACAATGCTTTGGGATAGAGAATACAAACATAATATATTTTTTACCCACCTTTCTCAGCATGGTCACTGCAGGATGTCATCAACTCCCTTTTTTAACTATCTCCCCCAAGAGCCCTAAGAAACAGAAATTAAAACATCTGTGTTGGTGGCATATTTTTCCTCATTCCTACAGATAATTAGCCAAATGCTAATGATATGCCAAGATTTTCCAAGCACAGCTACAGTGGGTGAATTTGACAGCAGACATCTTTTAAATCAAAGAACACACACAGGCTTCTAATTAAGCTAATAATTATTAGCACATTTTAAACAACACATAAAAACTAAACTCCTCTCTCCTCAAAATATTTTTTGTCCGTTCCACCAGTGTAAGAAACTGCTACTAAAAATTTTTTTCTATTTTTTGGCAAAGAACATACAGATTTTTTCCCCAGCAAGTCAGTTCAGTCTCTTTTTTCCCCTCTACAAATTGATATCTGCAGCTGGAGAATACTTTACAGCCACTGGATTTTTCCTTTACTTGTGTACTTATTCCTCACTGAACATTTTGCCTTTTTCATTTTCACACGAGCTTCTTGTTTATGGCTGCATGCAGACGAGTAGCAGGGGCCTCAGTGCAACTTCTCTCCCACTTACTCATTCTGTGGCTGGTTTAATCCTGGAGGTGATAAGGAGGAGGAAGCAAGTTTTCTTTTTTCACTTCACAGCCCCTTGTGCCGTCACTGCTCTTTACTTCCCCTTCTCCTTGTGTGTCTGCATGATAGATTACTGCCCTGGTCTGCACCATTATCCTCCTGCAACAGATCAAGAAAACCAGTCGGGACGTCGCTGCCTACTATTCGAGTGTGTACTAAAGAAGAGGATTCAGTTAAACCCTCCTGCCTCATCAGTCAAGACCATTGCTGGAATTCAGGCTCAACCAGCAAATCATTGTTTACAGGCTTTCCTCTGTATGTCAACTACTGATGTGATCACACTAGTATTTGAAGTAGAAGTGTGTTCAATTGCATTTTTATATCCTGAAACATTACATTGAGCTCATAATCTGACCTGTTTTGAAACTGCAAAACAAAACCAAACAACTGCTTTGCTCAGAGAAAACATTAATATTTTATTGTGCTTTTTAAGTATTTTTTATTCCCTTGGTGAAATTGATCTTATTCATAATTTGCCATTATTCATCCAACTCGAAACTGTGACACTGTGTGTAGTAACCTGACGATCAGAACAACACATCCATTTAATGACAAATTCATTTGGGGAGAGGATAGTACAACAACAAATGTTCACGTGCCTGTTACACATTTTAGCAGCTCTCTTAATATGCAGTGTTTTGTGACATGATGACATCAGTTCTAATACTTTTACTCAAGTTCTGTGCTTTTTAAAAAAAAAAAAAAAAAAAGTCTATTTTCTATTGCTTCATGTTCAACATTCACTGAGCCGTGACAAATACCACCATTTGTGTTAGGGATGTATGTATGAATACTAAAGGGATCATTTTCCACCTTTAAATGGGAGTTCATTACATTTTAAGGTGTTGTGCTGCATCATCTTCACACCGGTCATTAAGATTGTCAGGGTTTTAATGACTGGACGGTTAGCTTCACTTTGTTGATACTCTTTATTTTATTACTGTAGAGGTGTAAAGTTATATTGGTACTAAAATAATTTTTATTTGCTGTTGTTTTGTTAAATGAGAAAAAAAAAAAGGCATTCCACTTGATTTCCTTTGTTCATGATGTGCGTTCAAAAGGCTGCAGGTTCTGCAGGCCTTAACTCAGTCATCAGCTTCCGTTTGAGGCGGTTCAACTGACTTTATGAAGATTTCAAGCTGCTGTGGAAAGCACCTTGTCGTTAAAAACAAATAGTTCAACTTTCATTCCCTCAGGTTTCTGTTCCTGATTAAGTGTCCTACTGAAAAAAAAAAAAAAAAAAAAAAGATGCTGAAGCTGAAAGCCTTGAACTGCTTGTGCTCCTTTTCTCTCTGTAATGTTAGTACACACTATTACATTGCACTATATTGTTTTTAAGTTCAATTTTAGAAATAAATATTCCAATTTTTGTTTTTTGTTTTTCTTCTTCGACACCACTTGTGCACTTGTTTCCATAAAATAACAAAACAAAATGTGCGGTTTTGTAAAAGTGTGTTTATTTCGTTGCTCACACATCACCGTTGGGACCTGTGAGGAAAACAAATAATAAGTTACTGTATGTGATGTATGTGTCCTCAACACTGATATCTCTGAGAATACACAGCAGATGAATCACATTTTACCAACAGGTTGTCATGATTTCACCCGTTTGGTTCTAATGTAGCATCATCTGTGGCTGTTGCTTTTAGCCGTGTGCCCTGCTATTAAAGCTCTGGTTTCTTGGAATGCAAAGTGAAGTATAACGACTTAATTGGATAACGGGAACGAAAATTATGTGGTCTTAATATAGTTTATGTATTTCAAACGAATGCATCTGTGCAGCAATTGTCGAGTTGTCACGGTGGCCCCACACACACACACACAGTTTTAGAACACACCCATTTTTGTAGTTTATAGTTTTTAAACAGTTTAAGTGAATAACCTTTGATGGTACGAGGGTTATGTAACTTTTGTTGATGTCTTACAAACCCTCTGTCTGTACAAAAGGTTTGTACAAGTTTATAAGAACCTTGTTACTACTAAATACTTACTGTTGCTCCAGCCGACAGTGCAGTCACCACCTGCAGCAGAGCACACTTCTGTCAAGCACAAAAAGTAGATCTGGGGGAGAAAAAATAGAAAACAGGAAAAACATTTAAATGTAATTACAGTAATCTTAGTCTACACTTTACTGTGTTTTAGTTTACTCATCTTTAGGAGGCCTAACCTCACAAGTAGCACATTATCAGACACTTCATAGACATAAATACAGTCAGTGTTTACTTTTGTGAGTTTGTTAAGTGGGCGGTACCTCGGGATCCTCCATGTAAGAGGAACTGTCTGAGGGCAGGGACAGGAAGCCGGAGATTACGATCCTCCAGATGGTGTGGGGGGAAGAAAGCAGCTGTGAATCACCGTGACTGGTGAAGCTGAATAACACACAGCAGTGACAGGACTGTTAGGTTGCTTACACCAACCAGAAATTAAATGTAAAGAGTGCAAAGTTTTACAAATGTTAAGTTTGTCTTGAGGGTGGCTCTAGAGATAAGGCCATGAGATATGTAAAAATCCATGAACATGCATGTGCCCTGTCACTTTGATGGTCATCTGCTAATTAGATATGTTGTTGAAGTAAGAATTTAATCTTCTCCATGCCTAAATTTGTGTGAAATTCACTTGTATTGTTGTTAGTCAGCATCACAAAGCGTAAAGTAGCAGAAACCAGTGGCAAAAATAAAGCGTAACGTTCTGGTCTTTCCATCAAAAGCCTTGAGGTGTTTGTTTGTAGATGCAGCGTTATCAGTCACTACAGGAAATGGAACAAAGTCGCCATGTTGGATTCAACACCCCTGATCTGTCACCCAGCATCTGCCAAATCATGCCATTATCACTGTGATACTGTGTGGTGTGATCCTGGGATTAGGTGTGTTATTAGAGGGGTAATAATCCTCTCCCTAACTTGCAGGCAGCTGCTCGGATTCCATCTAAATTCAATAAAAAAAAAAATATATACTGGCATATGAAGGAGAACAGATTATAATAAACTGACACGGCCTGTTGACTCCTGCAGCTGCGCGAGGGATTCAAACAGTCGCACAATAAATGTACTGTGTGGATGAAGACCAGCGTGTAGTGTAATAACACACTAAGCCAACAGTGCAAAGCATTCTTGTCTTACATGTTTAATCAGCCAAAAAAGATAAAATAGCTGGTTGTTCTTAAACTCTCGAGCTTTGTGACGATAAAGGAACATTCAGGGGGAAATCGGCACAAGTGATTTAACAACAGTCGAGAGCCGCAGAAGCATTTCACATAATCCTCTGAAAACAGCAGGAGAAAAGTTGCGATCCTGGTTAGTCCAAACACAGACACCAAAGACTGGTGACGATTTAAACAATTAAACTAAATTAATTGTGTTTATTTTCCATGTTCTGTGTATAAACAAACCGATTGTAAATGGACATCCAGCCGGCGTACGGAGCGTGAGTGTAAGCCAGGCAGGAGTGAACCAGCAGCACCAGGTCCGGCCCCGGGGGGGGGTCCAGCAGTCTCGCTTCAAGATAAAGGGGTCTGCCTCGCATGAGACTGAGAGGCAGGTGAGCCTCAGGGTGGTAGCTGGTGAAGGACTCGTCTACGAGGAAAGAAGAAGATCTGCTTCACCGACAGCTCACTGATTGTAAACGCCACATTAAACCGTCAAAGAGGAACGACGTGCAAGTTCATTTAATGAGATTACCGGAAAGAAAAGTGTTCACCTGTTGCAATTCTCAGTTGCACAGTGACCGTGGCCGGTGTAGACTGAATGGGAGGTGGAGGCTGAACCATCACATGGAGCCTTGCTTCACCCGGAGCACCTGGGGAGGAACTACACTCCACCATCAGCCTGAGGATCAACACAGAAGATGTTGGTCCATAGAAACAAATCAAAAAGACACAGCGTATGCAGAGAGCTGTTTTATAACGCTCATGGTATATCTGTTAGTGGAAGTGTGTGTGTGTGTGTGTGTGTGTGTGTGTGTGTGTGTGTGTGTGAACATTTGTGAATGTATATGTAAGTCTATGTGAATACCTGTCAAAGTGTCTTGTATCAGTAGAAGTTACAGGGATGGATAATCTATATTTTTCCTCCTATTTTGTGTTTTGCTTTATGTCTAATTACAGGTGTTGAAGGTCAAATAATCCCGTTGTGATCTTCAGGCTCAGTGTATGAGCTCGATCTCCGGGCGTTAGAAAGCTTAATGAGGAAGTGAAAAGACGAGTAAATTTGTAAATATTGTTTTTTATTCAATTTGTGCATCTTAACTGATCAGATCAAACTTTAATGACAAATGTGTTTAATGCACGACCAGACTGCTGTCCCTCATGGACCCCTGTGGATTCTTTGGTTTTAAGCCCAGTGCATTGTGGGTGAGATAAAAGAACAAATTTGATATAAAACAATGGAATAAAGAGCAGAAATAATTTCCACCACACAAAGAGACTGTCAGTAGAAGCCACTCACAGTGATCGGGAGGCCTATAGTTAAAATAAATAAATTAAAAAACAAAACAAAAAAATAAATCCACTTTCAAACGGCTGAGGGTGGATCAAAGCTTCTGTCATTATTCCAAAGGGAAGGATGACAGAACAAACTTCAGCGGCACAAGGCGTTTGCATTGCAAATGTTTGACGTCAAAGCCAAATGAGATTTCCGACCTCCCTCTGAACTAAAAACACTGACGGGAAACATATCTGTTGAATAAATACCTGCCAACAGAGGTCACATACCTGACAGGAGAGTACTCCTGCGCAGAGTCGTGGTGTTGTTGAAGAGAGTGGAAACCTTGGACTTCTAAAAGATGAACCACTGTCTCACCAAACACCTAACAAGGACACGACATTACAGTCAAAAGACAAAGCTTTGTGGACAGCATCACTGTAACCACGGAGGTGCGCCTTACATGTGTGTTTACTCCGCAGCCGTCCAGGGGCACGATGTAGACGTCAGGGTCAGAGGTCAGTCTCTGCAGCGCGCAGGATACATTACTGCTCTCAGAGGGATGAGCAGGAGGGGCCACTGTGGGCTCCACCACGGAGTCAGGCATCGCAAAGACAAAATGCTGTCCCACTGTACAGTCTGTTCACACACACACACACACACACACACACACACACACACACACACACACACACACACACACACACACGTAGGAGTATTTTCTTTATCATTATTTAATTTCAGCTGGACGTGTCTCCACAAGGTTTCTGCTCTGAGAGACTCACCCTTCACAGGGTATGAACAGGGCGAGGCAGAGGGCGTGTGTGTGTCGGCCTTTAGGCGATCTACGTGTAAAAAAAAAAAAAAAAGAAAAGGAGAATAAACGACGAGAGGAGAGCTAGTTATACTCTCAACGGCAAACAGAGGACGGCTGAATTTATGTCCGAATGAGTCAGAATGAATGCTGTACAGGTGTCAGGTTACAGCTAGAGCCAGATGCCAGACCTTCTGAACAACCGTCTGCCCCCCTGTGGTGATCTGAGGTCAAGACACCATCTCTACACGTCTGTGTGCGGCACAGAGGACACGTCAACTAACCCGGAGAGATGAACATAACTGAACAAAAACACTTTACCTCTCGTTTCATTACCCGGCCTCTCTTCTGCTTCTCCTCCACCAGGATGACGAGGATGTTGCTGATTCATATGATGGGAGTTGAGGCTAGGGAAAGGACTGTGCAGTGGGATGCTGGGATGTCCCGCCTCAGGAGCATGAACCAGTAAATCCATCCTGCTGCCGTCAGAGTCCGAGGGAAGCTGAGATTCAGATTTTGAAGATTCTTTTTCAGTGTCCGTGCCGTCCGCAGGATGAAGGTCCCCGTCGTCTTTGGGCACTTTAGGCTGGTAGAAGTGGTAATAGTAGTAATAGTAGTAAGGATGTAGGCGGCCATTTTGAACATCATATGTCAATTCTGTGGGTGAAGCAGTGGTTTGATGTTTGCTACCGGATGGATGCTGCACTGAAGAGGAAGAAGATTGGAGCGGAGGGTCTGAAGCTCTACTCTGTAAACTTTCAGGTGCATAATACCTCTGATAGAAGTGATAGTGAGGGTGGGAGTTGTGTGGGTGAGGAGGGGGATTACGGTTGGACTGAGCGGGGGAGGAGGGTTGTTCAGGAGGAGGTGCTGTAACAGGGTGTGGTTCAGGGGAGTAATAGGGTGGGAGGCGAGGTTGGACTGCAGGAGACGCAGGTGTGGAGCGTCTCTTTTTGTCTTCCAGCTCTGGTTTTACATCATCAGCTGCAGACGACAGCTGATTTTTGATCCGATCTGCACTGTAGTTTTCAATATCAACCGTTTCATCTGCGTTTGGCTGATCTACGTCGGGATTCACACTGTAGTCGTCATGAACTGAAAATGGGTGATCGTCGGGCAAATTTGTTTCTGCAGCCGCGTTGTCTGTGTGTAGGGGAGCCAACCTTTGAGCCTCGCCTCTTGCAATATGCGGGAAGTGATAGTA